CCTGCAGGTTGATAAATCAGGGTCACAGTAACACGCTCACCAAACACAGAACTCGGATAAGCAGATATTCTTTCATTGGGACCAGCTTTAACTTTGCACAGATGTCGTATAAGCTGAGCCCTCAGTATCCAGGCACAGCTTGGCCTCTTTTACTTTGGTGGCTGTGTTTCTTTAGAACAGAAAGCCTACAAACAGAGGGCAGCCTTCCATCAGCTCTTAAGTACATGATGAGCTGGGCTCGACAGGTAAGCAAAACATAACTTGAAGATTTTTACCTGGGATTTCCTTAATATAAGCCTTTTTTCAGGTGCTGTTTGCTTGTTGGTCCTAATAAGTCTCATGCTAGGAGAACCCTGTCTTGATAATTAGCATCAGTAAATCTGGTGCCCTATAACAAAGAGCTTCTAGGTCCCAACAGATGCCGCAGCGTAACTGAGCTTTACCGATCTGGTTTCAATAAATCTTGTTGCCAAAAAATTCTATGTAGCAGACTTTTTTTCTTTTACTAGTTCCTGTTAATGTATGGATGATTTTTTTATATCAAAGGTAGTGTGATTTGGGAATGTATTTGTGCAGTTCAGCATACAGTATTTTTAATCAATTCACCAATTTGGTAAAATGTTGTTTAAAATGATATTTTTCCTTCTTTTTTGGGGGCACGCTTTCAGAAGGGCAGACAGAAATTAAAAAGTGAGGCAATTCTCAAAATCAGGGTCTGGAGATCGGCCACTAGGTTTTTCCCTTAAGGTCCCTTTAGGGAAAAAAGCAGAAAATCAAGTTGTCCTAAGTAATATGTTCCTTAGTACAGTGTAGCAAGAAGCCTTCCATGAAATGAAATTAAAATGTAACTATACAATTTGAATGTCCTGTTCAGTTGATTAAATGAGGTGTTCCCTGCACTGACCTTTTTGAAGAAGAGAACATTATTTTTCTCTATAGAGTAACCCAATGTTTAAAAAAAATTTTTTTTTAATAAGGAAAGTCAGTGCTTGGCACTTAAACCACTGCAGAGTTTGTGATGAATAAAGTATGTATAAATCATAGATGGGGTGTCAGTTGATGAATGCTCAGAAGTGATTATCAAAGGAGAACTTCATGTTTTTAAAACTATATTGACCCTTCTCAACCTAATATTTGCCTACATAGCTGCCAGGGTTCACAGTTCTTAGGCTGTTCAATTGTTTTTAAACAGAAATGCCAGCTCTAGTGACTTCCCGACTGTTGATGGACTTGCATTTTTTTTTTACATATATATGTACCAGGAAGTGAAGTGTGATTACTGCATGCCGTGCTAAGGAAAATACTACGAGGGAGAAAATATTATTTTTAGGTCAGATTATTTCCTCAACCTTTAACGATAGCTTACATATCTGTCTACCACACGCTAGGCTCTGAACACGGGTAACATCTATTTCTTCCTGCCACGGACAACACTTCCCACCCATCTACAGCTCCCCCTCCTTTTCTTTCAGCAACACAGAACCCCAGATTTCACTGTCAAGTTCAAAAAAGACAAGGAAGTGAGCATTTCTGTTAACTGGAAAGAAAAGGGAGTTATGTAAGAACAAGCCTTCAGGGGTCTGCTGAGCAAAAAAGAGTCCAAAAGAAGAAACTGAACAACTTGTGAGTTTCACGAGCAGGACTCATTACAGCTCTGGGCGGTCCTTACACAGTTCTCTTTCCCTTCAGCTGTATCAGCACTTTCGACTTCTCCCTTCTGTAAAAAGACCCCTGTTCCTCTTACACATCAAGGAACCTGGTCCCGTAATTGTAGATTTTTTAAATTTTATTTTATTTTTTATACTTTTATTGAAGTATAGTCAGTTTACAATGTGTCAGTTTCTGGTGTACAGCACAATGCTTCAGTCACACGTGAACATACATATATTCATTTTCATATTCTTTTTCACCATAAGTTTCGCCATGAATGTAGTATTCAGTATCTTGTAGACCTTCAATACTCAATCCACATAAATGTAATCTGTGTATGTTCACTGAAATGTAAACATACAGGACACTAGCATCCTGGGCAAAACAGCCTTTTAGGAGGGAGTGGACTCAGGATCCTCAGGCTATGAAACAGTTACTTGGTTGCCTTTTGTGTGCAACCGTTAATTTAAAAGGTTATTTGATCCTCTAGACTCCAGAAGATCTCAGAATTAAGTCCTGGACCATAGGCTAGATAAAAGGTTTCCCCAGTGCTCTGTGCATTCTAAGCCAATGCCTTACTTTTTATGTTGTTTGGGAAAATGTATTCTGTTTACAGGGTTCGTGTATAAGCCAAAGCCATTCAGTTCAATATCACTAAGGATGTAGAGTCTGCCATTAATTATCAATAGAGCAAAAATATCTTTAATACTAACTTCTGAGAATGGGCATTGAAAATGCCTAATGTGGCCAGCTTCAGCGTTTGGGGGACTTTCCTGGATATAGGTGGGGAGAGGAACAATCAGAGAATTCAGGATTACTTCTCTTATTTCCAAACTCCAGGACACTCGAGCGAGAATGGGTGTTTGCACAGAGAACAGGTGTTTTTTGGGGAATCCCACCTTCCGTGATGGCAGCTTTACACTGGGAGATACACTGACCTTTTGGATAAGGTGTCTGACCTCTCCCTCCCCTGACAGCCATTTCTCTCCCCAGACAGCTGCCGTGACAAACAAACTCCGAGGGGGCACTTTGACAAATGAGGCCAAACCAGGAACCTTTGTTTCTCTGCAGCCAACAAGCTGGCATTCCACAAGCTCACTAGGGGGCCGTGAATTACCGGAGGCCAGGCCTGCGTTTCCTCCCCTCCCCGCTGGCCGTCCCGGTGGCCCCACGTTCCCTTGATCTGCTGTTCCCAGATCACATTCTATCCTGTCAGGGCACTCTCAAAAAATAACTAACATTTACAGCAGAGTTCACAGCTGGCCAAAGAAAAGGGGGTGGAGCGAGGGAGTATCTTCAGAATAAGTAGCCCCGGCAATGAAATCCACTGGATCTGGGGCCGTTAAGCCATTTTTCATGGGACTCCAGAGACCCTGGAAGTAGGTATGAACTTGCACTTATCAAAAGCCCCAAATTCCAACACCAAGTGAAGGGCATAAAACACTAACCAAGAGAAAACATAACAAATTGTAGTTTCTAAATCCTGAAAATGTTGCACTCAACCAATTTGGTCAATGGTTACTGGCCATCTACAGTGTAAGGTCTCCTGCTAAGGCTATAAATAAACCCCCATCAAACAACAACAACAAAACCTCCCTCATTTCATAGCAAGAGCTTGGGAAACCTCAATTAAAGGGGCTTAGAGGTCTCCTTAAGCAAATAATCAAACTGAGCTACATTTTACAGATTAAAAAAAATTGGGGGGGTAGGTGATTAGGTTATTTATTTATTTATTTATTTATTTATTTATTTAATAGAGGTACTGGGGATTGAACCCAGGACCTCGTGCATGCTAAGCATGTGCTCTACCACTGAGCTATACCCTCCTCCACTGGAGGGACTACATTTTAGAATCAGGGGTCAGCCCACTGCAACCCACTGGCCCAATCCAGCCTGCTGCTTGTTTTTATGTAGCCTGTGAGCTAGGAATGGTTGGGGAAAAGAAAAAAAGTTAAGAAAAAAATCTCTTAAATGGTAGGGGAAAAAATAAAATCAAAAGAAGAATATTTTGTGGCACTTGAAAATGCACATGAAATTCAAATTTCCGAGTCTATAAATAAAGTTTTATTGGAACATCGACACATGCGTTCACTTACTGTCTATAGCTGCGCTGACACACACACTCTCTTACTTATTGCTTCTGTACTTAGAAAACCAGCGTTACTGGGTAGCTGGCAGAACCCAAGTATTTACTGTCTGGCCCTTTACAGAAAACGTCTGCTGACCCTTGTAGATTGCCAGAGAAGATTTTGCTTTTGCTGAGATACTGGAATGAGAACAGAGACCTCCGGCTATGTTAGAAAGCCTTAGAAATGCCCAGGGAGCAAAGAAACGGCAGCTGAGTCCTGAAAAAGCAGTCAGCACGAACTTGAGAAAGCCGGACAAGCAGAGGTGGATGGCAGGTGAAGCGGCTTAGGCTGCGTTTACAGGTCAGATCCCCCAAAGCATGAGAAAACACCCCAGTTCCTTCATGGAGCAGAGCGACGATCTGTGTTTCTTTCTCATACCAGTTTTGCTCATTTCCTATTGATAGGCCAGAATCCTACATCCTGAAGCTGTTTTCTTGTGCACGTGGTTTCGTCCTTCATGCCTCTAGACCTTGATGGGACCAGCAAGACCATCTAGACCAGAATAGGCTATTCTGGACGTCCCTCAGGGGAGCTCAACACAACAGCAGCCCAGGAATGACGTCTGCCTTCGAGCAGACAGTCCTGTTGGTGGATGGTGATAGCGCCCTACTCTGTTGGAGGTCCTAGTAATGATCTGGAGAGACAGGTCGTGCTTAATGAAATGAATGATCAGACTGAACTTTGTGGGTCTACAGGGCTATTAATTAAAGCAGTGCATGGATTTCCTGGTGGTTGTCTTGTTTTTCTCCTCTCCCTAACGTAACATGCAGAAAAGAAAGGAGAGCAGAAGAGGAATATTGATGCTGTAACATTTTCATTAAAGGTACCTCCCTGTGGGCTAGGATTTTGTCCCTTAAGGGTTGGGGACTAAATCAGCGGGGAAAAAAAAAGATGTTCACGTCCACAGGATTATCTGCAGCCATGTTCACACCATAGCGGTGATTCAAGGCTCCAGGAAGACACCGGGCAGCCTGACGCACCTCAATCCAGTGACCACGTGTGACAGTGAGTTCTGATCCCAGCCTTGTATAAAGCCTAGGCTTTTCGTTTGGTACAGACTGCCCTCCTGTTATGGCTATGCTTTGATAAGTTGGGAACTGAATTTCATCACTAACACATAGTATTAATAAATTGCCCTCTAGCAAGAATAGATGGAATAGTTTCTTTTAATAGAGACACAACAGAGTACATTTTTAAGCCAAAAACATTTTGTAAACTCACCTAGAAAAATCTCCCTTTGCCTCCTGTAGAAGAAGAAAATTGCACATCAGTGACACATTCTGATCCAGTTAACAGACTTTAAAATACACTGTACCGTCACGACAACTCCTCCACCAAAGCAGTCCAACTTACTGCTGTTTCGTCCTATCTGCTACAGGAATACAATTAGGGAAGGATGCGTGTATTCACCGCTTGAAAATGAGACGCTCTAACTTTAGAAAGTTATATCCAAAGAAAGTAGTTCATAATGACAAAATGGAAGTTTCCACTTCCAAGCCCTGGTCTAACTTTTTCCAGTTTAAAGATTCTGAACCTGAACGAGTGTCTGGGCAGCAATGTCTATGTGCCTACGTCTTGTGTTTCTTGTTTTTTGGTCTTGTATTGTGGGCTATTTCTCGATTAGACTAAAGACTTTAAGAGGCAGGGGGCATGGAATCTGTAATAAATCAAGCATAATGCCTGGAACATAGTAGTTGCTCAATAAATCTTTGCTGAAGGAATAAATTAATGACATCGTTTCAGTTCATCTTGCCAGTGTTTCTAACCTTGCCTCTGTTGCTAATATTCTGTAAGCTAAAGGTCTTTTTCCTCTTTCCGTGTAAGCTAAAGGTCTTTTCCTTGTCCTTCCAGGGGGCATGGAATGAGTCTCCTGGTAATTAATTCTTGCTTTCTGCTTGGCTTTCTCCAGTGACCTGAAGAAAGGGGGTCACTGATCTCAGTTTCCCCCAATCTCAGGTTATACATACCTTTTTCCTTTGCAGAGAGATGCTGTCTTAAATTTTCAGAATACCAGAAGACCCAGTTTACTGCTGTGGTGTCAGCTTTCCCAATAGCTTTTTCCTGCCTCTGGCTAAAAATAATTTAGGAGACCCAGAGCGAGTAGATACAGCAACTGTCATATGTAAGTCTCATTCCTCTTCCGTGTATGGCCCTGGGACACACGGAGGAAGGGGGGCAAGACTCACCTGTAAAATATAGGAGGCTAATTCAAACACTACTTCACTGTCAACATCAATCAGCTCCTGAAAGAAAAACCAACAAGGAAGATAAGTTTGGCACTTTAATGACAATTTTTCTATGATCTCTCCCTAAAAAGATGGTGGGTCTTTCTTTTCTGAGATGTTCCCCAGAATCTCAAACACCCAGAGAATACCTTCTCCGAATTACTTGGACCCAAATGCTCCCCGATACCCTTCTTACAGCTCTTAGCCAGAAGGGACCCAGTGGTCCTGGGTCTGCACAATTGCTTTTGGGCCTTCATCGTTAAGTCTTCATGAGAAATTAAGGAATGGACCGGTCCCCAGCTTTTTGCAAATCTGTCAATCGATGGAGTAAGGTTATTTGATAACCAAATGCATTTTTCTTTGTAAACTCTACTTCAGAACCAGAAGCAAGGCTTTATTGAAGAAAATGTTATAATGGGACTGGGACTCTTTAAATTACAATTAAGTAAAATTCAAAAATGCAATGCCCCAGTTGCACTTGCCACATTTCTTTCATGCACTCAATACTCCAAGTATCCACGTTGGCCACCACAGTGTCAGAGCAGACCCAGAGCACTTCAGTCGCTGCAGAAACTTCTACTGGTCAGCACTGTCAGAGAATCCAAGTTTAAAACGCTTCTGTCCTTTAGTTCTGCCCCCAAATATTTAATCATGATCTAAGAACATGGTCTTAAAAGGATATACATGCCTCTCTTTGGTTTTTGAAAAAAAAATCCTATATATATATATATACAGATTTCAAAATGCGTATAGTCCATATCTCTTCTTGTTTAATAACTTGATTGAGGTATAACAGATACAGAAGGAAACTGCATGTTTACTACATAAAACTTGACAAGTTTGGACATGTGCAAACGCCTCTGATGTCATCACCGTTTTCAAGGTAATAAACACCCACCACCTCCACAGATTTCCTTGGGTCTGTGTGTGTGTGTGTGTGTGTGTGTGTGTGTTTTGCAGAGAGGTAAGAACACTTAGCATGAAATCTATGCTTCTAACAAAACTTTAAGTGCACAATACTGGTTTTTTTTTTTATACACAGTTCAGATCTTAAAGACAAAGGGAAACCTGGAGTCCACCAGCATGAAAGAAAAATAACCAAATTAACTGACATCATACTTCTGTTGTCAAGTTCAAGTAGAAACGTCCACCTTTCTTTTCTTTCCGTAACATCACTAGATCCTACAGTGAGTGACTGGAGCACAGAAAAGTAGAGCCAGGACCGACTGAGACCACCGTTAGCCCAGCCCCTTGCTTTTATTGAGAACAGAAGTAAAAAACCATCAAGGGGCCTCCCCCCGCCTAGAGTCACAAGGCTTTAGTGGCATTTTGGTTGGAAACCACCGTGGCTTCTTGCCCAGCATCTGACCTTCTGCAGGGGGTGCTTCCCCCCAGATCAATTAGGGCTCAGCTATGTTGGTTTTAAGTCTGTCTCAGTTCTAACTTTCTGTGCCCCAGTCACTCTCTGTAGGATCTAGTGATGTTAGGGAGAGAAAAGAAAGGTGGACATTTCTACTTGAGCCAATGTAGTCTCGGAGCCACATCTAGCATCAAAGTTAGCTAAAGCAAGAGTTGCTTGTCTCTGAAATATAAACCCAACTCAGATTCATGGATTTTCTAATGATTTTTGTGTGGTCCAGGACTGGACCCTGTAATTCAAAACAATGCATTTAAGCGAGACTGTTCTCTTCCGAGAGATAGCTATCTTCCAGGCTCTTTCTGGCTAAGGAATTTCAAAGGTGGGTAATAAAGTTTCCTACTGAACCACCTTGGAAGCTGAGGCTAAGAGAACCACTGTGAGACATGGAAGAATCAGGGACAATAACTCCTTACATCAAATCAGCTGAAGGAGCCGGCTGGCCACTGTAGCTCATGCGCACTGGCAGTGCTGGGATGCGGAGGAATGCTTGGAACTGCAGTCCTGGGACCACCGGCTCCCATCAAGATGTAAATCATTTAACAGGGAACACGATTTAAGGGAAACACCGTCCAGGGTTTCCACAGTGGATCATGTCTATTCGCACTAGACGTGTTTCCATTCCCACCAGTCGATTTCCTGAAGTCGCTCGTGTGTACTTGGCAGGGGATCGGTATGCGCGCTGTCTGTCAAACATTGACACCCACGTCACAGGCGGCGGTCAACCGTGGGCGAATAGTTAACATCCGAGAGGCCACCTAACGTGCAACTCAAAACCAACCAGCGGGAACAACCCTTTTCAGCGTGAACATCGCTTTTAGTTCATTGTTCGACTCATCTGCTAAATGGAAACGTCTCTCCCTTTGAGGGGAGCGGGTGCAGAGGTGGGGGAGGCGGACGGTGGTCTTTTTCTATTTTATTTGATTTTACGCAGCCCATGCTGCGGCTCCAGGAGGAATGCTGGATGCTAATTGGGTGGCAAATATTAACTGCTGGGTACTGTTATTCAGAGCAAAGCTACCAAAGATGCACATTTAAACATGGAACCTGATTTATCCGAGTTCTCTCTCACCACAGGGTAAGTGGGAGCTAGCACCTCTAACTGGGGTGCGTTTTCACCTTCTCTGACCATGGCCATCTCGCAGTGAAGGTATTAGAAACACGGAGAGTCAGAACGTGGCTAGTAAGAGGGAAAAGGGTTGAAGAACGAGGTGGCCCAGACATCCCCCACTCTTGCAAAATCTCATGGAAAAGGGAGCTGCATTACTACTTTTCACAATTTCTACTGAATATTTCTTGAGTTCAAGAATCACTGTGTTGCAGGGAGGGTACAGCTCAGTGGTAGAACATGTGCTTACAATGCACAAGGTCCTGGGTTCAACACCCAGTACCTCCATCAAAACGATTTTTTTTAATTAAAAGAAAGATTAAAAAGAAATAAGAATCATTGCATTGTCTTTCTTCAGAGGAGTCCACACAGAGATCTAAATGATGTTTATAAGAACCAGCCTAGAAATGGTGCGGGTGGTGGGGGAGGGCGGAGAGATGTTATGGTTATGAAGCGAGTCCTTTCCTACCCTGCAGTCTCTTCCCGATTCCCTAATGGCTCCTGTTAATACCTTCCCCCATTTATACCTGGCCCACCCAGGTGATTTTTATCTTTAACGCTCTCCTGCGATGGAACAGAGCTCTAAACATCCTGCCCACACCACACATCTCCTGCTGTACCTCAAAACCAGAAAGCTGGGTTCCCCGTGCAGAGGAGGGGCAGGTGTTTCCAGGGACCCGCCTGCCATATACGCTAGAAAGATGACTGTACCTCTTTCTCATTGGGCTTTTCTTGAGCCCAGATTTGGCTTCTTTCAAGCGAACTGCTCAAGCAGAAAACTAAACTGAACAAGACCACAAAGAGTGCGTACTCTCCTGGGACGCTGGGTTTTCCTTCGGCTGAGGATGAGGTGGAGCAGAAGACCTTTCAAGGAGGATGTCCGTGTAGCTCCCCTCCGGCACCCCCAAAGGCTGGACAGGGACACCCCCCCGCGCCCCCAGTGCTCTCAGAGCCGTGTGAGAAGGGGCATCCGCAGGGCTGTTGCTGCGCTGGTCTTCCCTGGGGCTCTCTGGTGGTCTGGTGGGCACGGGATTGTTTCATTTGAGACTTGTCGGTAAGAGGGGGATGAAGATGGATGGGAGAGTGATGTCACGTAGTTGATGCGTACTTTGGACCTCTGATTTACTAACCATTGGAGAACGTGTGCTGCTTTCTCTGATCCTTTGAACAGGGTCTGGAGGGACAAACGCGAGTCTGCAGGTGTGTGCGGGTGTGTTCAGACAGGGCTGGGGAGGATGGCCTCCCTGTCTCTGATTCAGCCTTGTCTCAGCCCAGGTGATTAAGTAGCAGACGGAAGAGGCCCGAGGTCATAGATCAACAGCATCATGGTTAACAAGGTTCTCAGAAAGATCTCTGTTCTGAGGGTCCCCAAGGGTTCCAAAGGAATAGTCCCCTGGGAACCCCAAGCAGTAAGTGTTAGGGATGGTCTCTAAAAGTCCCAGAGCTGGGGGGAACCTTCGTGACCCCTCACTTGGAGGGACTTGGTGGTGGTCTTCAGACGCAACTGAGAATCTTAATGAAGAGCATTCCTCCATGGTCAGGAATGAGGGAACTTCCAACTTTCACAGAAGATTAATGAGAGAATTACGACAGAAAAGAAGATGAAAAACCACAGGGCAGGTTGAGAAGACTCCAATGGGAACGACCTTCCCAAAGTCCCTTCAGAACGACTCACGGGGCCGCCCAGTGGTTTTCCTAATAAATCCTCACCGACCGTAAGCACCTTTCTTCTCACTCACAAAACGACTAGAGGTGAGAGTTTCTCATCATCCTCTTCCAGGTCATGTCTACTCTCACCTGAAAGTTCCAGGTTGTAGTTCCAGCCTTCCAACAGCTCCAGGATGTCGAGTAAATAAATCACGGGAGCTCTATGAGTTTCATTTTCCTCATCAGTACGATGGGGGTAACAATTTCCTTTCCAATTATTTTACTGAGTCCAATGAAGCATAAATGTAGACGTGATTTGGAAGATCTTTAGACACACGAAAAATATCAGGTCTGTATTGTTAATTTTTGCTCACTGGTGCAAACTGGTATAGAGCATCTGAACTATGCAATTTCGGCTCTGTTCCTCAGCATTTTTTAGCATTTATAGGACTCTTTAGTAAGACACATGTTATTTTACAGGTGGGCAGCCTTGTGTGTGTGTGTGTGTGTCTACACGTGTGTGCACAGTCACCGTGTCTATCATCCAAATAGATCCTGGCGCCCACATTCAGCCTCCCTGCGCCCGTGCGACCTCCCCGCCTCATTGCACAACTCAAAATGGCTACGCGAAGGTGGCCCCAGGCAATCGGGGGCTGGGGTGCAGGATGGGACCCATGTGATCTTGCACAATTCCTCTTTCTTAGCCCTTTGTCAGTTTTTCATCAGTCAAGTCACTTCATGTTTGTCTGGGGCACTCCCTCACTTTGTGGCTCGGGGATTTCTCCTGCCATCCACTGCACACAGCCCTCATCCGGATCCTGAGAAATCTCTGGGACAGAGGTCACG